CACATTTTGGGTACTTACTTAATACACACATATTTCTATTTTTAAAAAGATTTATAAAGTCCTAATTTCTGTCACAGATTTTGATACATTTCTTTTAAACACACTGAGTTCTCTTTGTGTTTTCCCAAGAATTTTTCTATATTGGTTTGATTCTGGCCAAGGATGAATGGAACATGTGAAAATAGCCTCAGACAGTTAAACCCCCAAAAGGTTTACTTATCCTTATGCCATACATGACAGGTAGGAGTTTGTCTCAAAGAAAACAGAGATGGTTGAGAGACAGGAAATGGGTGTACATCTCACTTCTCTGAGTACTGCTAATAAAAATGTTACTTTTGAGCATCTCAACTCCAAAGTTTGAGAACCAAATGTAAGCATTTCTTAGCCGCATGTGGCGCTTCGTGGGTTAACTAACAGTTTTATCTGCGCACCACAGTCTTCCAGGATGAGTGCCTACAGCAGCTATGTGACAAATGACTCGATGCCACGTGAGGCCTGTGACAACAGAGGGAGCATAATGTCTACCCCACAGACACAGGATGGAGCACTGGTGACACCAATGCTTTACTGATTCTGTTACAGTCAGCAGTCTCACAGGGTAAAAATATCTGATTTAATCATTTTAATGATTCACCGAGGAATCCATGATAAAGTTCTAGTTTGCTATACAGTATCTATTTAACTTATTTAAAAGCTACATTATTTTAACACAAATATCTATAGTATGTAATTATAATTGTAATTTTCATTATAATTATCTACTATATAACTATTACATATAGTTTATACACATGTGTTAATATTTGAAGATTTAACATAAATTATATCATTATAATATGTTTTAAATTCTCACTAATGAAGCAAATTCATAATACTATAGGTTATCTTTAACAAAAAGTGGTTTAAAAAAACCAAATACATTTAAGTTTAAAAATATTTTCTCTTCTATTCCCTCCTTTGTAAAACAGAACTGCTATCATGCAATACTGCTAAAAGAAAACAAAATTTCAATATTACTATCTGCTATTCTTGGATTTTTTTAAGATCTAAAAGCTTTCTGACTGCTATTTTCTGTGACATAACCTAGACCATACCACACAATATTTTATACTATGTCATTTACCTGACCGAGACTAATAGAAAAATGAATTTTTCCCACTGCAGCTTTCAGGAAGCCATTAGCTGTGACTAAACAGATGCCAGCATCCTACCTACCTTACAACACTCCTGTAGATTCTTTTGTGAAATCAGATAATTGGTACTCACACAAATTCAGAAGATGCAAATGTTACACTGAAGAGAACTTAAAGGTGTACAAACTACTTATATTCAATCCCATCCACCTAGTATTATTAGTATCGCCAGATGGGGGAAAAAGTGAAGTGAAATTTCACACTTCTGCCTTTCATGTTCATGCTGCTTTCTACAGAGCCCTTGCCCACAACATATACTGGACTCACTAAATTCGAGACCCCACATCTCAAATGGGTACTCAGCTTGCTATACTTCCTCTCTCATGTGCATTCTCTCAATGGTCCAAACCATGAACAGTCCAGCCAGAGTCTTCTTTCTATAAACTTCTAACTGGTACCCATCCTGTTCTCTCTGATGACTTTGCTTCGTATTTTGCGTAAAAGACACCCAATCAGACAGAGAGACTTTCTGCCTTTGCCACCAGGTTTCCATCTTGATCATATTCAGCAATGCCTCCCCCAGTGCACAAAATGCAAACCACTCACAAACCAATTTCCTCTAATCTACTTGAGCATGCTGGTACAGGACAATACCTCAACAGACTTCTGTAACAACCAATTTAATATTCCTGCTATTTCCCTCAAGTGTATTTTCTAAGTAGCAGCCAAAGTAATCTTTTCTAAGTTCAGATCTGATTGTGGCTCCTCCATGCTTAAAAGCTTCCTGTGATTTCCATTGTCTTTCACACTGAAATTTAAAGTCCACACAGAGCCTAGAGAGTCCCGGGTGACTCACACAGCTTTTTCTTGGCTTTCCTCTCCAGCCACTCTTACCTCAGTGCTGTGCTTGGTCTTTTTTCCCCATTTTCTGAGTACCCAAAGCTCTGGACTGCTTTAGCATTTTTTAACACTAGCTATTCCTTTGTCTGGAATGCTCTTTCTCTGCTCTACTCACTCCCAAGCCCTCCTCGGCCTTTTTCAGGGACACTAACACACAGGCAGATACCATTTACTTGCTTTCACGTCACTCTCACTCTTTTTCTTTATATGAAGTTGTGTTGTTTGCTAATTTTTAAAAATATTATTGATCGCTCCCAATTCCATTATAAAGGACGTGAGAGCAGCACCTCATAGATTTTGTTTCCTGCTAGATTCCTATTGTCTGAAGTAGTGTGTAGCAAGTAATAGATGCTCAAAGAATTACTTGTTGAATGAATCAAGATGATATAAATTAAACGTCACTTGTCTGAACCATTATTCCCAATGTTTAAAACTCTTAATGACAGTCCTGAGATGTTCTGACCAATGTTCCTGATCACTCAGTAACGGCACTCACTCCCGAGGGAAACAACGCCATCCCTTAATTTGGATTGTTCAAATCCCTTTCTCCTTCTCAAGTGGAGGTCTGCCTAACATGGAGGACCCTGTAGTCCCGCAGAACATCCGGCTTCTGCATCACACATGACAGTGCTTCACCTATCTGAAGATGGTGACTGTGCCTTCTCTTGGCTCAATATCTTAACAGCTCTATTTGGAGGTGGGGCAGGTAAGGGATCCTCCTGCACATTCTAAGACGTCCCTGAATCACAGTGCTGTCTTATACTTAGTTACCCACCAGGCTATGAACATTCAACTCTCGCCCAATTTGTTACTTCTCATCTGGTTGGATCAAAGGTTCTCTTTTAGCAGTATGACTTGATCTAAGGCACTCTTATCTCTGTCCAGTTCAAGCTCACACACAATCTCCAATCATGTACCTTTTACACGACCTCCTGCTTACCACTTCCAAAAGCCTACTACAATGTAATCATTTCTTAGCCTCTTCTTAGAATTCCTCACACCATTTAGCATTCCCTCCCTTATTTATTCTTTGGGTCTATGAACATTCAACTCTCGCCCAATTTGTTACTTCTCATCTGGTTGGATCAAAGGTTCTCTTTCAGCAGTATGACTTGATCTAAGGCACTCTTATCTCTGTCCAGTTCAAGCTCACACATAATCTCCAATCATGTACCTTTTACACGACCTCCTGCTTACCACTTCCAAAAGCCTACTACAATGTAATCATTTCTTATCCTCTTCTTAGAATTCCTCACACCATTTAGCATTCCCTCCCTTATTTATTCTTTGGAAGAGAGCTTTTGGCTCCCTTTCTTGCACAAGGTATTGATTTTCCCCATATGTAAACTGAAATTGTAAGCTCTCTTAATTTTCATAAAAGTACCTACAATCACCTGAGGCAAACTTGTGGTGTTTCTGACCAGCAACACGGGAACCTTAAAAACTAGAGGCTCCTCTGCAACCACCACCAGAAGAGATCTGAAGCCGAAGCAGAGTAGATCTCAGACAAGACAGGGTAATCCTCGATGGACCATCCCTACATGGCCCGTTACAGATGCCATGATGCTTAATGCTATTCATTTCCTTGCTGCTCTAAGACTGGCCAAAGAAAACATGAATTACCCCATATCAGAATAGGGGCAAATTACATGGCTTACACAGTGACACATTTCTGGAACAATCTATTTTTATACCCTCTGCTCCAAAACAAACTGGCATCTCATGTAAATCATTCAGACAGAGTAAAAAATGCTGGGAGTGTCATGATTAGAAAAACATAGTATGGTGTTCCAAAAACATTCTATATCTCAACAGTATACTGACATTCTGCTAAAGAGAGTCGCCCTAAGGATGCAAGCTAAAGGATAAAACTGTATTGTATTCTCAGAGTTCTGACAATGTCCTGATGGCTAAGCATTGACAGCGTAATGCCTAGGATAATCTATGGTATATGATTAGTTGTGATTTAGGCATCAAAACAAAATAAAAAATATGTAGGCTCCAATCTGCCACAGAGACATCTGTTTAATTTGCACATATATCAAGAAATAACAATTTCTAATAAAATGTCATGCCTGGATCAGTTTGTTGACACGCTATTTCTGACAAGAATAGCAGGGGATAATCTGTGGGGAATCCAAGTCTTCACTTTCTATAAGTGTCTCTTAATAGATAAAGATGTCTCCTCTTGCTATGGTTCAAATATAATTTGTCCCTACCACAAAAAGTCATGTTAGGCTCGGTGTGGTGTTGGGGTGTCTCTGACAGGTAGGTAGACTGTTAAGAGAGATTAATGTTTTCCTGACCACTCAGGACTGGCTTGGTCATTATGACAGCACACTGTTATAAAGTGAGTTTGACTTCTTCAGCTCACTCTTGCTTCCTCTCTTGCTGTGTGATCTCTTCTGCTGGGCATGTGCTGGTGCTATGCTTGGACCTCCAACACTGAGGTAAATAATGCATTCCTTTTATAACCTACCCAGCCTCAGGCATTTCATTACAGCAACACAAAAAGGACTAAAATACATTTTTGTGCACCTCTGCTCCTTAACTACATAACACAAATTTGCATATACAATAGTAACCTAATCAATATCCAGTAAGTTATTTGATAAATATATCTCTTGAGCTCTTGATAGCACTCCCCAGTTCCAAACCTATGGAATTGATTCAACAAGTCCCAATTTCATAGAGAACCAGATGTCTTAAGAGCAAATACAGATAACTATTATATTGCCCTTTAAATCTTTATTTCATTAGTGAAATAATGTATTGCATGCCTCATTCTGGCATGTTAGAGAAAAATGCAAGTCATCTCATCTATTATAATTATCTCATTCATTCTAGAATTTTGGTCTTTGAGAATGCTCCTCCCTTCCCCAATTGCCAGATATCCGTTTCATAAGTGTCCACCAAGTAATATTCACCTTGAAAACTATAGTGAAGCTGAAATGAAACTCAACTTACAACACTGAGTGATCTTCTGGATGTTGGAAGAGATGCGCTGGGCCAGCTGGGCAGGGTCCCCTCCGATCCCTGGAGTGTAAGACATGGCTAACTTGCTGACTTGCTAATTTCATCAGATGTTGGTAGGCTATGCAGTTTTCTAGGCAGTCACCTAAGAAACACAGAAGTCACATAATTGTTTTTAAAGTTATTGGTTTATATTTTCAAAATTATAGGATTATTCAGTCACAAGCTATTTATCATTTTCCAATGTTTAAAACAACTCAACATAAAACAGACAGTTAAATATTAATGGAACACAGACTTCAGCCTATTCCCAGAAATTTCATTATATCTAATGTAAATTGTAAGGGGAATTCAGGGTTTCCAATTTTCATGGGAAAGGTTAAATTTCAAATAGCAGAGCCAAGAGAAACAGCATCCTATAAAACACCCATCACAGTTTCTTCACAGAGCAAGAACAATGTCTCTCTTCTCTTCCAACAGCTTACGTCTTAGGACAGAAGGCAAAGTTGAGGTATTGCTATAGGAGGGAAGGGGATAAGTTCTGCCTTCTTCAACCCATATCACACCACTTAGGTTTGAGAAGACTGTAAAAGGATGTTTCACCATTCAGGGCTGTGCACTGCAAAGAATTTCAACTAATCCTACAGTCATCTCTACAATGAGTACAAAAATATCGCAAAGTTGTCAGCAATCTATTTGTAAGACAGTGTCACATGCCCACTACTAAATGAAGCACTGGGAAGATAGAAAACAAAATAGAAAAGTATTGTTCAAGTCAAGCTTGTCAGGCAGGGGATATAGCTCAGTAGTGCTACACCTGCCTGGCCAGCACAAGGTCCTGAGTTTGATTCCTGACAGTGGAAACAAAACAAAACAAAAACAAAAGCAAGCTTGTTATTTAGGAGAAAGGATAAAGTTAACAGCATAAGCCAACAACAAATAATACAAATCAATTAGAGTCATGTGCTAGGGCAAAGTGACAGGGACTACAAAAAAGGAAAATCACTATTGCCCCTGTCTAGAAAGCATTTATGAAACAAAAATTTAAGCTTTAGATACTTGGGCATGATTATTATGGAAAACAAAGGCCAGAATATGGAGACCTGGGCAGACAGACCTAGAATATGTGAAAAGAACATACACATTTGCCAAAGTACAGAGGTTCTCAGCCAGTTCTGCATCAGATGATGCATGGCTGGCTGGGATAAGTGGGAAGCCACACAGAAAGGAAAAGAGAGTAGTAATGACCCAATATTTCCCAAATATCTGTGAAACAAGAAGTATTTTCACGTAGATTGTCTAATTTTCACAACCTCTCCCACAGAATAGGTATCACTATTACTGTTTTAACAATGAACTGTGGCTTAAGATTTAAGTAAATGGTTCAAGGTAATACAACCCACCCATTAGTGGAGGTGGGATTCAACTCCAGGGTTCAGATTCCAAAGCTGTTCATGCTTGCTACCAGGCAAAATACATGCCACAAGAGTGGGGGTCCTGGACCGGGGTTTAGTTTGAGTATGTTGCAAAGAAATCACTGGAGATTTCTAATAGGAAAGAAGAGGTCAATAAAGACACCAAAGTTCAGAAATGCTTAAATAGTATGCATATGCAATAACCTACACATATTCTCCATATACTTTCGTCTCTAATCACTATAATGCCTAATGCAATACAAAGGTATGTTATACTTATTGCTCAGGGAATAATGATAAGTAAAAAGAGCATATACTTTCTATAGAGATGCAATTAAAAAAGTATCTTTCACAAGTTAAAACTACAGATGTAGCACCAGGAAATATGTAGGGCTGACTGCATGTGTCTTTAACCTAAGGGACTGTGCTGGCAGGAAGACGACAGCTGAACTTCCACAACTGGTAGACCAGTACCGGTTCCATGCCTGCAACTCAGGCCACCCAAAAGCCCTCTTCATTCCTCTTCCTTGTTCCACGCACTCAGTTTATGTCTTTGAAACCAAGCTCTAGATATAGTTCCCACTCTGCATTCATTAAAGGGCAAATTCAAATCTCAGCTCAGACAGCTGAACCTCTGCAGCAGTGTGGCAGGAATGAACATCCTTCCAGGAAGCCTTGGACCTGGACCTGTAGGCAAGTGAAGAGCTATGGCCCTGACAGAACAAAACCAGATTTGGAGATTCAGTCAGACCAACATGATTTAGAACATCTGACAGACCATCAGCTGGATCTGTCAATTCAATAAAGAGTCTTACTAAGGTGTACTTCACATGGCATAAAACTCATCCAACTAAAGTATATAATCCAACGGTTTTTAAATACATTAATAAAGTTGTGTAATCATCACTAAATTACTTTTAGGACATTTTCATTTCTCTAAACAAGAAGCTCATGCTCATTACCAGTCATTTCTCATTTCTCCTCTACCTCACCAGCCATAGGCAAATATAATCATATCTTTGTAGGTTT